GATTATGTTAAATGTGTTACTATTCTTCGCAGCTTGAACGTGAATGAGCTTTGATAAACACGGATATGTTATATCAATAAATCGTATTGTGTGACTTACCGGAGTTATGTGATTATTTGTGTCCATTGCACTGACTCGTACGATCTCTGCTTTGTAATGTTTGGTGTTTTACAGCTATCGGAAATTGTAAATAAAGGTCAACTGGTGTCAGATGAAATTATTATAAATTTATTGTCAAAGAGACTTCTTGCTGGGGAAGCTAAAGGTGCTCTGGGATTTATTCTTGATGGTTTTCCGCGAACAATTAAGCAAGCGGTGAGTATATCTTCAACTTGGCAACGTAAATGTCTATAGGCAGGAATACAGGGAACAAAAACATTGATAATGGATTTCGATACCTAAAAATGTAATATCCAATGAAAAATAAATGAACAAATTTTGCAGATTTGGATAATATGCTGATATCATAAAGTACCTTATTCAGATTCCCTTACTTGCCTACGAATCAGATAGTACTTGTCTTGTCATCAATTTTTTTGAAATGCTTTCCTACCATCGAATTACGAAGGTCTCATCTGATGTTCTTTTTATATCAATGTGCATCTATTTTCTGCGGTTGTCCTGTGTTGTTTTTCTGAACCTGGTTACTCTTTAAACAAGCAACCTTATTTCCTCTCATCCAATGATTGCCTTTATTTTTGTGCTCAGGAAATATTAGAAGGGGTAACTGATATTGACTTGGTTATCAATCTAAGGCTTCAAGAAGATGTACTGCTTGAGAAATGCATTGGGAGGAGGATTTGCAATCAGTGTGGGGGGAATTTTAACGTTGCTTCCATTGACATCAAGGCTGAGAATGGGAGCCCTGGAATTGTCATGGCTCCGCTTCTTCCTCCTGTCAATTGTATGTCGAAGCTCATTACTCGGTCAGATGATACTGAACTAGTTGTCAAAGAAAGGCTTCGAATATACAATGAATTGGTATTGCTGCTTTTGTGACTTCTTATTTGAAGTTTTATATTTATCTTTATTATGAGAGGCTCATGAAATATCTGATTGAAGTTGTATAAAAAAGTTTATGTTTATAGTTACATGTTGCTTTTGAATTATAAGTACTTTTCTGTGAATAATTTTTTCCATCTTTTCTAACTGGTTTAGGATTGGTTATCTATTATGATTGCAGAGTCGGCCTGTGGAGGAGTTTTACCGAAATAGAGGGAAGTTATTAGAGTTTAATCTGCCTGGAGGAATCCCAGAATCTTGGCCAAAGTTGCTACATGCTCTTAATCTTGATGATTATGAGGATAAGCACTCTGCTGCAGCATAAAAATATAAAATAAGAATAAGAATAAATGTAATATATTTCATTCTTTGCGTGCAATATATGCATGCTTGACAATTTTGCTACATAGATAGTTGTTTGTCAATAAGCTTCAATAGAATTGGTGCATCTTTCCTGTATAGTTGTAGATTGAATACAAATGTACTAATTTATTGCGTTGATCACATGCTTAAGATTTAGGGATTGCTATTATGCACGTTGTTGTGAGCAGTGACAATATATTTCTTTTTTCTTTTTGTTGTTTCAATATAAGTGCAATATGAATTCTCTATTTGTGGCAATGATATAAATTCCATCTTCCTTTGGTTAGAATTTTTTTATTTTCTTTCAAGATTAGCTGGGTTAACTCTACTTGTTTAGTTAGAGTATTACTTTTCCCTCCTTTAGGGTACTAGTTCACCCAAGCTTACAAAAAGTGCGTAAATTTCGGAGATGCATTTTTAGACGCATTTAAATTACACACTTCTAATGTTTCCAACACTTGAGTGAGTGAGTCATCCCATTTTGGCCTAAAATATTTTCGGAGATACATTTTTGTAATAACCCTTAATTCAAAACTCAGGTTTTTACGTTTAGGAAGTTTTTCGGAAATGCATCTTCGAACGAAGTTTAATTAATATACTTCGTGCCAGAACTTTCTCCCTTCATTCTTCATTTGTTACAATTTCACAAATTCTTTTCAAAGAGCTCTGAACAAAATTTAAGTGTGTCATTTTTCAAACTCAAACACTACTTCAAGTGCGTTGCAATCAATCCCATTAAGTTTCTCATTTTCTTTCTATTTTGGAGTTGTGCGGCATGTATTAGGTAAAACATATTGTTTAAAATGCATTAGTTTGTAGTTACATTCAAAATATATACTTTGTTTATAGATGCATGCGAACTTGTTGGTGTTAAGGACATTGTCTGCATTTTCTAGAAGTTATGCATTCTCACATATTTTTATAGAGATACATATCCAGACATTTCTGAGTTTTTTTGCCTTTCCAGTTTTACATAGATGCATCTCTAGTTTTTTTTTTAATTTAGTTTTTCTGTTTTACAGAGATGCATCTCCGAATTTTACTTGATTTTGATATTGTTTTCTATTTTGTATAATAGAAACATAAGAACAATGACTGAAGAAAACTAGAACAGGTTGAAGAACGATCATGTATTCCAACATGTGTTCGTTCGTAGGGAGAGGGCAATGCACACGAGGCCACGAGTTAGTGCTAGTTTGTTTGATGCGGAGACGTCGACTTCACATGCTCGCGTGTCTTAGACTTCACGAAGTCGCATGTCTCAGACTCTGACTTTCGAGGGCACGTGTCTCTTGTTGACCCTCCAACTTATGAAGCCCTTGAAGCCCATTAGGAGGAGTTTGTTAATGTGGTTGATCCCATTCATGGTAGTTTTCCAAGAGGTTCCTTTGACACGTCCTTACTTCCTCTCTGTGTAAAATATGCTGCTAGGCTTGTGTGAGAAGAAGACGTATATTTATTTACTTTATGTTACATATATTTCATATCAATTGTGTTGCGATTAATGTTGGTATATTTATTTTTACAGGAGCGTGAAATGATAAAATCTGTAAACCATACCAGGAAGATTTTGAACCTGGAACAAAATGCACACATGGTTTTAAGATTGTGTCTGTTACTCTGGACTTGCAGGTTTATGCACCACTTGATACAAGACCATTAACCATGGCACATTGACGGCTTTTGTGGAGAGATGGCACAAGAAGATGTCATCTTTCCACATCCCTCATGGTGAGATGTTTATCATCATTGATGATGTCTCATGCCTTATGCATCTTTCAATCCCAAATCAAAAATCAACAAATCTGGGACATTTAACTTGATGGTAAACTTAGCTAAGCTAGGTGTAGGGTTGTTCATGGTACAGTTCGGTAAGAAAACTGAATCGAACCATTATATAGATCATCTAAATTTTACTGAATCGATTCAATTTTTTTAAAATCGAATCAAACTAAAAGTTTTGGTTTGGTATGACGGTTCAGAATTTCAAACCGTACCAAATCATTAGAAGACAACTTTTTCAAACCAAATCATTTATTAAAGAATCGAACCGTTATATTTGGTTTTGAATTTTTTTTTCTAATAAAAAACCTATTTAAATTTATTTTTAGCATTTCTTTTATAAACTTTATTAATATACTGTTTTATATATTTTTAATTTTAAAAAAAAAAACTTTTTTTTAATCTACATTCACAATCAAAATCACAAATTAATTTAAATCAAAATTGCATACTCATTCAAAAAATCACAAAATCACAAATGCTTATAAAAATAAACACTTATAAATAAGTTTGTATAAGTTATTTTTATACCAAAAAAAAATAATTAAATTGTTTTTATATGTGTTATAAGTTTTTCTTATTAGCTATCTTAAAGAACTTATAAAAATAAGCTAAAAAAAGCTTATAAAAATGTCATAAGATATTTTGATAAAGTCTCGCAAACAGTGTCATAATACATTCATTTCTTAAACCAAAATTCAATTGAATGTTGTAATAAAAGACTAAAAAGAAAAATGTGAATTGTATGTAATTCTAAAAGCAGCTCGTTACACCGCACTGTTGCATAATAAGTGGCTTTCTGGATAACTCTCATAACCGCTGACAGAGGAAACTTCATAAGATGATGTTCCTTTCATTATGTTATCAGGAAAATATAACTCTAATTGGACCAAACCTGAGAAAGAAATTCTTGGTCTGGCTGTTTACTCGAGTCCAACTTTTTGATTGCAACCGTTTTTAATGTGGCGCAATATACTTTCCCATATGCATGCACCTTCACCAAGGAAAGACTTTTTACCAAAATTATCTGCCCGGACTTCAACTTCATCTACTGTAACGGAAGAGACGTAAATAGGTTGGAGATTTATAGGCCAGGGAATGGTTACTGCCGTGTGTCTTCCATGATAACTAGAGTTCCCTGCATTGTACGAAAGAGAAATCAAAATGAAACGCAATTGTAAAGCCAACACATGTTACTTTCTGATTCATGCCCAACTAAACAAATTCATGCCTAACTAAAAACGCAATGTGAAGAGCGCTATTATGTACTCCAATTAAAAGTTAATTTCTGAGCATGTTATAACGATCAAACCAAGTTATAAATTTTTTAGCAGATGACTACACAAGTGCCATTACAAAATTGAATCCACTCATTCTCTGACGTAATCATCGGACACAGTCCTGAGAAATAGCACAACAATATAATCTAAGCAGTAGGATAGAAGATCAAATTACTCATATCCTAACCATAGCAAATTGAAAACTTGAAATCTCAACAATAGACATCTTTCAGTTCAGCAATGGAAGACAAGATGTTAAAGATGACCTAACTTAAATCATAACTAAGACACAAAATAATTCATGATAATGGAATATATCAAAGCAAAATTCACAGCTCCAAACAAATAAACCAAGTTTGGGTGTTGAAAAACACCTTCAAATCACAGTAACCAAACATTTATGATAAAAAAATACACCCCTAACCTAATAAAAGAGAACCTAAACACAAAAGAAAGAAATCCTTTTGTTACCTTCGATTTTGATTTTGAGTTCACAATACAGAGGAGATGGCCGAAGAAGCTGAACTGGAGCGGAACGACGGCGCGGTGAGGAGCTTATGATTTGGTAATGGAATGAAACAATCAAACCTACAAGCCAATCTCAGCAAGAACATAGTCAAACCCACAAGCTGCGAACAATCAAAGATTTGGGCTAAGAAAGGAATGCCGCGAATGAAATATGATTTAGGGTTAATGATCTTCAACGATTCATCTTTGGAGCTTCAACGATTTCGAAATTTAGGGTTGATGATTCTCAATCGTTGATTTTCAATCAACAATGTTTTGGTTTTCAAGTTTTCAATTTTTCATATTTGAAAATTAATGGTTCAGGTTTGGTTATGTTTGATTCATTTTAATTTGGTTCGATTTAGTAAAATAGCGGTTCAATCTACTAACCAATTTTAGTAGTTCGATTTTTTTTAATTTCAGTTTAGCAATTCAGTTTGGTTTATGAATCTTTTTAATAGTCCTATCTAAGTGAAATACAAGAGGAACTAGATGTCATAAGAGGCGCTTATGCCTGATTTTCATATATGGCTGACCTGTACAAATATCACTTGGTTGCAGAAGTGGAGGCCGAATGTGATGACGAACATGTCTTGTTCTATATACAATGTGCTTTGAGGTCATACTTCATATACTTGATTGACACGACAATATTTGTGGACAAAAGTTCAACCTACATAGATGTAATCTACCTGACATGCTTCACTGATTTAGAGCGGATTCATGAGTACAGTTGAGAGGTAACATGTTTGATTTATCTGTACTCCAAACTAGGTGAAACTTGTCTTTGAAAGACATGAAAAATGATTGGAATCTACACACTATTTACACTAATTTATATGCAACCTTTATTGTTACTAATACTTTCACAATGGTTGTGTTACACTTGTTACCAATATTTTATCTGAATCACTTTCAGGCGTGGATCATCTCTCAATTTCCTCACATGTCCGGGTGGAAATCTGAGATGAAATACATTGAGGATTGCCACGTGGTTGTGCCTTTGTATCATATAGAGGAAGTCAGGCGTTAGAGTCGTACAAGGTGTTTATTGAACGCATTGTAGTATATGACATGATTCTGCCCATATAAAGGCCACCGTCATATGACATAGCCTTCTACTTTGGATGGTTGACTTATTGGTCGCGCCTGATGTATCCACATCTTTCTGAGTTGGTCATGCTCTAGTTCAGGTTTCTTCAAATTATTCCAAGACCTCCCCCTGTGTTTGCTCCTCCGATAGTCTGCCGTCTGCCGTAGATATATTGATGCCATACTCGACAATTTATATAATCATTTGGTTCCATATGAGGCACATGGTGAGCCAGCTTCTGATCCATGGTCTTAAACACATGGCTACATCTAATGATTCTATCAAGTGTCACATCCTTACATGACACCAGATGTCGAGAGAACACCACCTAGACTTGTTCATTATGAGATATTGGAAGAGAAGTGAGCTAGGGATGACCACACAACTGACTTGTTGTCGGTCTTTCAGCTTATTATGTAGGTTGCGAGAGATGTCATTCAGACATGAGTCATTGTAGAAGACAGTCTTGGTATGACCGCTTTACAAACAATCTTAGTCGAGGCACATAATGCCTTGGGGTACATGCGGCGACATAGGAGAAACATGCGAGTTAGCAATACATAATAGTTTGGTTTTATTTCTATTTTGGTAACAGTTGTATCGTGGTAACATTTGGATTTATATTATTGTTTGAATTTATATCAGACATCCCTGAATTGCATTAGTATAATTAGCATAGTATTAATATATTCTTAGTGTAATCATCATCGAATAATCATCATTAGCATAATTATCATTGGATAAAAATATCAATTTGGGACATTTATCGCCAAGGCAAAAACTGAGGTGATTTTGGAGATGCATCTCCGGTCAATTGTTTAACAAATATGAGATGAATGACTCACTTGTGAAGCACACGGTGCTTTTAGGAATTAATCCGGAGATACATCTCCGTAATTTTTTCGGGGTGATTCTGTAAATGCATCTCTGGACAATTTTTTTGACAAATATGGGGTGGATAACTCACGTATGAGGGTGTTGTGTGTATTTTAGGTGTATCCAGAAATTCATCTCTGAAATATGAAAGAACAAGTTCGAATTTCTAGTTTGTTCACCCACATCTTATAGGACGGATAAAGTAATACACCATTTAATTATGAATTGGATAGTTTGCAGAGATGAAAGATCCAACTTCTCTCTTTTTATTTTTCATCCACAAATGATTGATGGTTCGAGTGATATTTTTGGTTTGAAATCATTTATATACTTTTATTTTAAAATTTAAATAAGTGATATTTTTATAAATATATTTTTTAAGTGAGTTCACCGACAAAATGATGGCACCTAAATGGTGTAATTAATTTATTATTTAATTTTTCACAGAATTATCACTAAATATTTAAATAGTTTTTGTGATAATAATGAACAAATTTATATGAAAATATGAATAGTATTTTACGTAGATTCGAGGTTAACTAAAAAATAAGAAATCAAAGTAAAAGATAAGAGATGGAGCGCGACACCATCTCTATGAACCATGAAGAATGAAAAGTTATGGGTAGATCGTCATAATAAACTTGATTTCCTTATAAAATTAATATTTAGTCTGATTCAAAATTGACACGGAAATGCTCACCGTTTCAGTTAAAGTGATTTTTTTTAATCAAAATTAATCTACTATTTTAATATGGTCACAAGTTGCGTTTTTACAAAAGAAATGACAAAGAAAAAGCTATAAAATTCAACCATAACTCTACCATAAATGTCTAAATTTCAATTAATTTATGATTTGTTCATGAAATATAATAATTAGATTCCATTTGTTTGCTAATTGACTCACATGAGTTCACCATTTAGATGGTTGTATAATAACATTTCAATGTCTTTTGATTATTGACACATACATTATTTATTTATTTATTTATTTTTCTTTTATGTTTGTGTCACTTTCTTTTTGTATTTGAATGCTCTCGATCCATTTGCACTCCTTTTGAGTTTAACATATTATTTACACAATTGAAGAAAATCACACACTAGTGTCACACCTCTGTCACATGCTTGAGTGACAAACACACATTTTGTCTCATTTTCTTCAACTTAACCCACTTCATCCATTGACTCGGTAATAAATTAGATTAAATTACCAATAACTCTCTTAGCATGCGCCGTTATTATAAGACCTCATAAAATTTGGATTGGCTTACTTGTGTCTCCCCCCTCTCGAAGAGAATTCGACATTGAATTGAATGTGTTGTGCCTTTGTCACCTATATTAAAAGGATAAAATTTTAGTGCAATGAAGCTAGCATGAATCTCAAACTCACATGAAAGTTAGATCTTGTATGCATTATGATCTATAAAGATCTTGAAAAGGCACATCTTCCTTAAGTTTAAGTTTGAACTTCGTTTGTGATGGAAACCTTTCCTTTCTCATATGTATTTAAACCCAATTCACGAGTTCAAAACAACATTTTTATCTCTATTTATTGACATTTTTTGCATAACTTTATTTTTTTATTTATAATTTAACCTGTTCTTGTAATTTTCTTACAAACTCGATTTTGCATTGAGCATCTTTATGCACCAAAAAAGAAGTGTTTGACAATGATAATAAATCAAAAGATGTTAAATGATTAAATTATACATAATCTCAATAAGTGAATATTGTGTGTAGTACTATAGATAACTCTATTATAAAAAAATTCAACAGACAATCGTGTTTTTCATATTTTAAAATTTGTTTTAAGAACAACCTTTCAAATAGTAGAGAAAACTTTATTTATTACTTTTTGTTTGTCCATCAATTGAGGATGAAAAGTAGTACAATCCACTACAATATCCTCCACTTATTTGACATGTCTTTTGTTAAACTTACCTTGTCCTTTTAAACGCTTCAAGGACTCATGTTCATAATAAATATTTGACTAGTAGGTAATATTGCCAAATTTGCAAAGTCTTAAATAAGACACATATAATTCCTTATCATAAGTAGAGTAGTTTAAGTCAACTCCTTTTAATTTCTCACTAAAATAAGAAATCGAGTATCCTTCTTGCATCAAAATAATCCAATTTCAAAATTGAACGCATCACACTCAATTTTCAAAGATAGGAAATACTAACATGTTTAATGAGACGTTAGAAAATGTTACTATTACGGGATCCCGAGCTTGAGTCGGTGCCAGTGTTTGAGCCTGAACTCGAGGCTCAAAGTGAGGTTGAGAACAAGAACAAATAACTTGATCTAACACTGAGATTCAAGATGAGGTAGAGACAAAGATCTAAATTGAATTTGCAGCTAAAGGAACGAAATATCAACTTGACCTTGAGAGGTTTGTCTTAAGTCATACTGTAAAGACTTAAGATTCAAACAAAATATCAGAAAATACAATCAAATTCAAAATATAACAAAAATAAAGTTATTTACTCTCATTCGAAAAGGTTTATTTCAGATAATCCTTATACACAGTTTCAAAAGCATCATTCTGATTGTAATAAAAATAGAACTAAATCATTTCAGACATGACACAATCCTTTAATCGACACAAATCTAAAATTTCTAAAATTCTAAAAAGCAATATAAATGATAAATACATTGTAAAAAAAATCATACATAATATATGATATATTGTTAGACGATTAAAAAGAAATTATAGCCATTTACATATAGTTTGGATGAAAAATAAGACTTTAATATTCTTAAAAGTTTTAGAATTTGAGAAATTTATGAAATGAAGAAGGAGAACTTAAATGTATATATACTTATGTATATATATGAATGATTGATTCTTCTTAAAAAAAAAGTTTTTAGAATATTTTTTTTCTGATTAAAAAGCAAATAGATTTTAAAGATACGTCTATCAGTTTTTTAATACTTTTTATCAAATTCGTAGCAGAAATTATTATTTAGTTGATTCCTATATTTTCAATGTCAATTTTAGTCTTGGAGATAGATTCATATAGTATTTTGTGAATTCTAGTATTTAATCTTGTAGGAGAGGAAGTAGTTTTCCTTATTAATTCTTATTTTCATATTAGAAAGGTGTTTGTGACACAACTGTTTCGTTTGAAATTTTGCATTCTGTGTAGAGTTTTTATTTTGTAACATGTTTTGTGTTATAAATGAATGTTTTAATAAATTTAATTTTTTTGGTGTTTCAATTTTTTTTAATATTATAATTTGATATCTTAAAGGTACAAGAAATGAAGAGAAAATTTATCTAATTTTTAAAGTAAATTTAATTTCTTAAACACAGTAAATTTAATTTCTTAAACACTATATTTCTAAAAATGGGTTATGAAAAAAATATCAACTTGATGTTCCATCAAAACCACAAAACACTTGCCAAGGGAAACAACGCCACGTGCTCCGTTCTAAATCTCCAAGATCTCTATCCGCCTCTGAGCAACATGCTTTTGATCACATCCACGTCACCAAACAAATGCCAACCTGGAAATATCTTCTCCACGTGGCACTTCTCAAACCCTCAACACCTCCGCTTCATCCACGTCAGCATTCACAGTTCATAACCGCACCAACTCATCATCTTTCTTCCCAACATCGCCATAATCAAGCTCCTCGCTTTTCTCTTTCTATATTTTCCTTTTTTTTTACTTCAAACTATTTTCTTAATCTTGTTTTCCAAAGTTTAATTAGCGATGGTTTATATGACGTATTAGCAATAACTGTTTTTATAATGACTTAATTATGGCGATTAGTGTTTCCTCTGAGCTGGTAATCCTCGTCTAATTCCTTTTTCATTTTCCTGAAATTTTTACTTCACAGTGAAGAAATTAAATAATGTTTCTGTTATGATATTTATCTAATTTTTTGTTTTGTTTTCTGTAGCGTGAACGATTTTTTAGCATGAAGAAAGCGATGCCACTTTTCTGGTTCTTGTTCATGTTCAAGGAAAGATCTCTCGCGCGTTCATGGTTTCGTCTCTAACGGAACTTCTTTTTGGGCGTAACCGTTTTGGATTTTCAGTAAGTTAAGTCTCTGAAGTCTTAATTTAAGTTCTTCAGCTTAGTTAGGGTTTTGAAACTTACTTCAAGTACGGATTGCATTAGTCTTTCCACATGATTAGGGTTTAGTATTGTATGTTTTTTAATGTTTGATTTGGATGAGTAATGGATACTCTTGTGTTAGAAGCCTAGGTAGCATCGACACCTCTAAACAATTATGTGTATCTGAAACTGACTGTGACACTTGTGATTTATGTTTAATTTAGTATTATTTTTTTAAAATTATTATTGGTGTCGATCACATGTTTCCGGTGTTCGTGCTTAGAGGCTGATAATTGCTATGAATATTTGGTTGGGTTTTGTGAACGAAATTTTTTGATGAAAATTGTATTAGGTTTACTTGTATAGATTTTCATTGAATGTTATTGTTTTCTGAATTGCATATTTAGTGACCTGCAGTTGTATTTTAGGGTTCTTTGAAGATTGTAGCATGTGCTGTTTTACTTTGGATGAGGACGGACTATAATTATCGCGAGCTTGGGCATTTTGAATGACAAGGGGTAACCAGATATGTGTTGATGGTGACAGTAAAGAACTTACTCAGTGTTTGCGGGATGGGAAGAACTCCTTAAAAAAAGGAGTTGCTGGTGAGCGCGATGAAGTGAAATGTGATGGAGTAGCTGAAGAAGTTAAGGTTGGAGAGGGAGGGAATGGGGAATCCTCTTCTGTCCAGCAGCAAGTACCGCAGTATCAGTCTCAAGGGGCAATTATTTGTTGGGAGAAGTTCTTACATATTAGATCCCTTAAAGTCTTGCTTGTGGAGTATGATGACTGTACTCGCCATATTGTCACTGCATTGCTTCGCAATTGCAGTTATGAAGGTTAGTTATTATCTGTTGTTTTATTGAAACCATCTTGCTCATTTCTTTGTTCATGGATATTGTAAGAAGTACTCTTACGTCATTTCTGGAAAAGCTTAAACTTTGTTTTGCCTTTTCAAAATAAATTTGTGGGTGCTTCTAAGCTGTGAATATTGTATCTTTGGGAAGCTACATATACTAGAATAATGATATAGACTTTAGAATTCCTAGTTGTGAGAAAATGAGAGAAAATTGAAAAAGATAAAACTGTGTAATTTTACTCCGATTCCAAACATAAGTAACAAAAGACCTCAAGTTTGTCTGTCTGATTATATCTAAAACTCAATTAATTCTTCTTTGACTAATGATATCATTCCTAAAATACACTTCAATTAATTTATATTGCATCTTCCAATAACCACTTTTATAAGTTTTTGTGAATGGCATTTTGATAAATACAATTCTTTTTTTCTTATCACAAAAATTAAATGAGATAACATACTATTCTTAATAATTGAGAATTGTGTTTTTGTTTCTCAAATTCAAAACCGGAAAGGATATTTATTTTGACATAAAAGAGTGCAAAGAGATATTTATACAATAGGCTATGCTGCAGAACAGTTGCAACTACCTAACTGTTTACAACTGTCAGGAACATAATTGGTTAATGAAGAAGTAGAGCCACCCGTAAAGGGCTTACAACGTGAGGCCTAAAGGTCCAAATAAAACATTTGAATAAATTGCATATATACTCCTAATTTCCCTGTTAACCGGGAGGAGTGCTAGTCCATGACAACTTGTTAAACACTCTGAGTTTGTCTCTGAGAGCTGTAAATCTTAAACAGAACAGTAGCTCTGTGAGAACATCAGCCCACTGCTCTTGAGCAGGAATGTGGAAGACAGAACTGGCTTGCAGTAAAAGACTCGTGAGAACACTCTGGGATAGAATTGTAGGACACTGCAGAGAAGTGGCTTGCAGTAAAAGACCATTTCATTGTCACTGGGTTGGGATAAGAATTGACATACTTTAATTACTGCTAAGGGAATCTCAGCTCTTGTAATGGTAGCATATTGCGATGCACCTACGATGAATCCATGTAACTGGCTCCAAATTTGCTACTGGAAATCATAGTTGTAGTGATGCCCTTTGCTGAAAAATTCGGTTGAATTAACTAATCTCTATAACAAAACTATCTCTATAACAAAACTATATAGTTATTAAACCGGTTGAACCGGATGATTCGATCTCTAAAGAAATCAATGGCACCTACATTTTTCTTTAAAAATATAATAATTTCACCAGTTATTTTTTAAATTCAAACTGTTAATATCATTTATTTTTCTCCTTCATCAAAACTTAGTTGAGCATAACATGATTTATTAGGACATCAGGATAAAGTAGAACCAAAAAATAAGGGACGTCATGATACTTCGGAAATAATGCATTTTTGTGTTCTCTGAGTGATTGATGCTTGCAATGGAATATATAATGTTTTCAGGGACAACTAAACATAACAATATACTCCAAGTTATGTACCAATTCAACGTGATGAGGATATTTTTTTCTTCTTTTTCATGTACAGAAATATTTGCTTTCTTTTATATATATTTTTATTTTTATTTTCTAAAAAATATAAGGAAAAAAAAATGCATTAGACTGTCGGTTTTACAAAATCGTCGGTTCTCTGGTTTTCACTAGTTCTCATCGGATCAATAATGTATTTGATCCAACAATTAGACCGGATCAAAGAAATTACCGGTTCAACCGGTTCGACCGGCCGGTCTGGTCTGATTTTTAAAACACCGAGTGTTTGGATGTGCCTGCTTCTCCTTACTAAGGCCCTACAAGACTCGCAAACTGGACTTTAGGTCTCAAGGGTTCCTATTCCTTGGTTATTCCACTTCACATATAGGGTACAAGTGTCTAGCTCCTAGTGGCTAACTATATATCTCTAAGGATGTGTTATTCATTGAGTTGAAATTTCCATACAAAGAGCTATTGCCTCAAAATGATCCTGTACCTTCCTTTCCCTCAAATGTATCTCTCCACCTTATATCACTCCCTGTGTCTCATCACTCCCAACTATACCTACTAGACCAGTTGATCCTCTTCCACTTGAGTCATCTCAGTCAACACATGTTTCCTCTAACAATGACTCAACTCAACTCTCTCAAGAGACAACCGCTTCAAGTGAAACACCTAATAGGATTCAATCCAAACATTCAAGTTCTGTTCCAACATCTGACTCTGGTCAATCTATTGAACTGAACTCTGCTGGTTCAAGTCCTAGTACCTCTTTCTCTTCGTCTAGCCCTATGCTTATCCCACCTAAAGCTACCCACCCCTCTTCTAAATAGACCTGGCTACACTCATTCTATGCAAACTAGAGCCAAAATTGGCTCCCTCAACCAAGGCTTGAACCTAGACTTCCCTTGCCAACTCTGAGCCTAAAACAGTCAAACAGACCCTTGCTGACTTGTAATGGAAGGCAGCCATGTAGGCAGAGTGACACGCCTTGATTCATAATAATACTTGGACCCTTATTCTCCTACCTAAAGACAAGCTGTTACAGAGTAGAGAGAAGTTAGTTAGGATTTCTATTTTTATCTTGTAACAGAATTCTATTATGATTTGAAAGTTCCTTACAATAAGGTGATACCTTAAGTTAGTTAGGATTTCTGTTTTCATCTTGTAACTGAATTCTATTATGATTTGAAAGTTCCTTACAATAAGGTGACACCTTGTTACTTATAGCAGTAACAAGGTGACCTGCTACAACAGGTAAATCCTACTTCTAATGTTGACAGATGTCAGTACAAGAGATAGGAAAACTACTAGCTAAGGGGAGGCCACAACCCGAGTTTGTGCCTAGTAGAGGCAAGAGGTTTGGTGAGTACATCAATCCACTGATCAGTGCTTGGTATATATTGCAGCACCAAAAGTGCTCTTTCTGTCATCTGGATCAGATGCCTAATCAGCATCACAAAACACTTGTATAGAAGGAGACGTGGTTGTGGTGAGAGGAGTGAGATGAAGACATTGAGTAATAGTTCCTTTAAGATATCTTAGAAATCTTTTCACAGTTATTCAATGTGCTTCAAGAGGACGAGCCATGAATTGACACACCTTACTCACAAAGCCTGGTCTGGCCCCAACCACTGATCTGTACATGTAGGGATTTGGGATAGCAGGAGAAACTTTGGTGAGTTTGCAGATAGATTGCATATGAGTATGCACATGCACAGGGCTGCAGTTAAGTATATTGGTCTTTTGAAGAAGGTCTTAATATACTTTGATTGAGTGAGGAGAAGAGAATGAGAGACCATCCTTTTTACTTCAATACCAAGAAAATAGTCTAGATCCCCTATGTGCTTGAGAGAGAAGGCTGCATGAAGTTTGTTGGTAATAGATTGCAAGAGAGTTGATGAACTCCCAATGATGAAGATATCATCCATGTAGACATATAACATATAACATATTGAGAGAGGACAAGAAATATTATATGTTATTTGTTTTTGTTTCACTCATGTTATATGTTAATTACATATAACATATAACTTGTGTTTGGATGAGGCAGACTTAGATATCTGTTTTCTTAATATGGAGTGACTATGATATAATTTGTATCATTTTGTTTTAGATGATTTTTCTTAATTGAAAGTACTCAATTTAAGTATTTTTTTTTTGATTGGTTGAAAGTATCAAGTTTAAATAAATATAAATTTTAGTTCTCATTTTATACTCTTCATAAATTGTGCTCCTAAATTGTATTATTTTATTAATATATAAAATATATATAGTCGTGTTCGATGTCCGATGTTTTTTACATTAGCGGTGTCCTCGTATCTGTGTCTGTGTCGTGTCCGAGTCTGGGCTTCATAGTTCATGGACAATTTCCTCTTTTTGGCAGAAAGAAGTAAGAACATGATTGAAGTCCTCTTTTCCATTATCAGATCTAAGCCTTTTGATGTTTACCCTAAAATTGATTTTTAATCATGTAAAAAAACTTTGGAAAAACAGTACTGATGTCAGACTAGTTTTGGAGTAAACACACTCAAATAACCTGAGTACAATCATCTATAAAAGTAACAAATCACCTAGCACCTGTTACATTTGGATTCGTAGAGGGACCACAAACATCTGAATGAATAAGATAGAAGGGGGAAATATTTTTTTTTTTTGTTTAATTGAAAAAAGATAAACACTTATGTTTAGCAAACTCACACACATCACAATGAAGACTTTCAATATATACCTTATTGAGTAAAGATGGAAACAAAATTTTAATGACTCCAAAAGAAGGATGACCTAATCGACAATGAAAAAGAAAGATTTTTCCTTTTTAGAGTACTGACTCTGATATAAATGAGTGGGACAAGTGAACTTTTGTACACTGATTTGGTTCTTCAAGATAGTAAAGGCTATTCCTTTCTCTAGCACGTCCAGTTGTCTTTCCTGACTCCTTATCCTAAAATATACAACAATCATTATGAAAAGTCACACTACAAGATAAATCATTTGTAAGTTTTTGTATGGAGACAAGGTTCATGGATAGTTTTGGAACACGAAGGATCCTTTTTAGGCCAACTACAGATACAAGAGTACCATCTGCAGTTAAAATTTTTTTATTACTCGGACAAGTGGTATATGTGGAGAACTGTTTCGAAGAGGATGTCATGTGGTTTGTGGCTCCTGAATCTAATATTCAAAATAAACAAGGTGTTTCTGAGACATGAAATCCAAATGAAAGTGGAAGTTTACCAGAATATGTCACACTGCAATTACCTGATATCTTTTTAATACAATTGGTTAAAGAAAACAAGATTCGATGAAGAAATCAACTTAGAAAATGTAGGGTCAAATGTCTTGTAGGTGTAGACGGCTGTTGAAAAATGTGCAGAGTTGTACCAACAGTGGCAGAAAACTGTACGAACGGCTTCTGGAAAGTGTATAGACAACGGCTGGATAGACAACATTTGGAAGAAGTACGAGATTGTGCTAATGGAGGCCGGAAAGAATAAATAGTGTTTAATTGGAAAAACATGACAGCAAGTGTTGTCCAATCAAGATTTAAGGGTTCTGACAGCATAAAAATGTCCAGTCAGGTTTCTCAATAACGATTAGTGGAAGTAGAGTCCCTTACATTAGGACTTACATTAGGAGGGCTGATGCCATCTGAAAAATAGAAAAAAGAATTTTTTTGAATGTGTTTGAATGAGTAAAGCACTCAGCAACAATGATATTTACACACTATATAATTAATTACATATTATGTTTGTAAAGAGAAATAAATAATAGTGTAACTCCCTAAATGCATGAATCTTTTTTTTTTTTTTGGAAAAGTCCAAATGAATTGATATATTTCTTAGCACAAGGTGTGCCAGTATAAACCCACACATTACAATGTTACAGACAGATGCATTTCAGCTACACAATTAAACCAAAACGAATTACAAAATCCAGGCCACCAGACCCCCAAAGAACCTCTCCCTGAAAACTCCAGAGACCACCTATTCAGTATTAATCAAAATTGACGACAGACCCTGAACTTGCAGCATATATTTTCGATATCCAACAGTAGCTGCTCGACATTAGCCTAGTCACCGAAATACAGAACACAACAAAGAGATGATGACGAAGGTTTCGGCTGCAGGAGCCATCTCTGACAGAAACCTACGAGACAGAATTACAACACCCCGATTTAGCATTCGCAACAGCTCACCCTTTCCTGAGAATTGACCAGGGATTATTGTACCACGTTTGAGGATTGCAGTGGATATTTATGCCTTTGTTGCTCAACCAGAACCAGGACAGCCTTTGAACATTTTTGAGCATTTGATCCATTGTCGTAGTTTTATTGTTGAAGATCAGATTATTTCTTGTTTTCCAGATAATCCAAATGCAGGCGAACCAAACAGTTTTAACTCTTTGGATTGAGATCCTATCATTACCATTTAGTGAACCGAACTGTCCAAGATGGTCCCAACTTCCGATTGGCAGAACTGATTGCACTCCAAGCCACCTCATGACATGAAACCAAATACCTGGAAAAGTAGGGCACTCAAAAAAAATATGAGATACGTTTCATCTACATTGCACCCGCCATTGCACTGAATTTCTTTCTGGCCTAAAGCTCCTCTTCTAACTAGGTTTTCTTTGGTTGGTAATCTATTATGAAGTAACCTCCATACTAGGCACGAGACTTTTGATGGGACTGTTTTTAACCAAGCCTCTGTCCAAGCTTCTTGTGTCTCGGTCCTATTCTCCGCTTGTAACACCTTGTATCTATCTTTCACAGAATATATCTCAGAATTTTCTCTGTCACCTGTTTCTAAACAGCAGATGTCTCTCCACCATAACGAACTGTGATTGTCATTAAATCCGGATGTGACCTCAGTTTCATTGTATCTATCTATCAACGCTTTATACCCCCATTCTCTCCTTTCTAATTTTCCACACCCACTTGCCTAATAGCGCATAATTAAAATCCCTCAAACTCTTAATTCCCAGCCCTCCCTCTTCTACGGGTCTACAAATTTTCGCCCAATTGATCCACATGATTTTTCTATTTTCCTCACTACCCCCCATAAGAAATTTTTGAACAAACATTCGAATTTAGAGATGATACCTGTGGTATCTTTGAAGAAAGATAAGAAGTAAACTGGTATTGCAGACAAGACAGATTTTATCATAATCGTTCTACCACCAAATGATAAATATTTGTGTTTCCATTTTGATAACCTAGATCTCAGTCTCTACCACCGAAAACGACACTTTCTTGGATCTTGGGTTAACACCAATAGGTATCCCAAGGTATGTAAATGGGATTTCTCCAACCCTACAATTCAGACTCTTTGCCTAAGGCTTAAATGCTCATTTTAGTGGAAACCATACATTGTATTTTTTCTATTTCCAACATTTTCTCACCATCTTGATGTCATATTTTTATTAATTAAAAATGATTCAGGCAGAAGCCATTTAGACGTTCCTGTTTCTTGTTGGAGGGAAAAAAAGTCTGAGACTAGTATGTTATTGATTAGGCTTGAAATGTTAACGGCAGACCATGTTTTGAGTTTTATCTTGTGACTTTGTGTCAATTAGCCTCCTATTATGATTGAGCTTTGGTAGTATGCAGCTAAATTGTGATTTATTCAACATTTATGCATTAACTGTATGAGCTAGTATTTTGCTTATGGCCTGAATATGATTATAAAGTATAATATTATTTATGTTTCTGCACTGCTTGTGTACAGTGTTAATCTAGCATACTTGGCTTGTTGGTTTCGGTTTGTGGATTAGAAAAGAATTTGTCACAATTCGTTGTATAAATATTTCTAAGCTATTCAGATAAAATCAGAATAGAAAATCACTTGGTGAAATAATCGGTTCCGCCTATCTCTCTCCCTAATTTTCTTCTAACAGATTTAGATACGATGTTGTTTTTGTTTGTATCAGTTATTGAAGCAGCAAATGGATTGCAAGCTTGGAAGATTTTGGAGGATTTAACCAATCATATTGATATTATTTTAACTGAGGTGGCAATGCCTGGCTTATCAGGCATTGCTCTTCTATACAAGATTATGGGCCACACAACACGGAAAAATGTTCCAGTGATTAGTAAGTTTTTCCAAGTGCCTATACATGTTTGGATTGAAGCATTTTTTTTTCTTTCTAATTGCATACTGTGAAAGTGCCACTCTTTTATATGGCTTCTAATGGGATTGGTCTGCAGTGATGTCATCTCATGACTCTATGGGTTTAGTCTTTAAGTGTTTGTCAAAGGGTGCTGCCGATTTTCTAGTTAAACCCATACGGAAGAATGAGCTTAAAAACCTGTGGCAGCATGTTTGGAGGAGATGTCATAGTGTAAGCTGACCGGAATTTTCTTTCCTTCCCTAACATTACATTTCAGTTTTATTTCTTTAACCAATACATTGCTAAAGATTAATAAATGTGTGATGATTAGTGTTATCAAATATTTGCCATGGCGGCGCAATGGTGGATATTCATGGCGGTTTTTAGGTTCGGCGCAATGCTAAATATTTGTCAATATTGTGGGTTTTTCCGCCATAATCTGCTATAACGGCACCACAAAGCGGCCAGTATGGCAGACTTTTGGCTCTCCTCCATGGACTCTCATCCGCCATCGACAACACTAGTGATGATGTTAATAGAATGTAGCTTTTGCCACATTTTTTTGGATAGGTTTATTTGTGTCTGGTAGAACTCCATGGAGAGAGAAAAGAGAGAGATCCATAACAGAGTCTGTTATGATGAAATGATTGAAAGCATTCGATGATTCTGATTATTACACGATAAATTAAATATAGAGTGAGCCTCTCAACTAACACTCTTAGACTTGAGTGCAAGCTGTTATAAACAACTTGCAACTAACTCTAACTTTAATGAAGTTAATTGTAACTAATCCTAACAAACTGTAACAGAATCATAACAGTAAACGGTATGCCTAAGAATAAAGACTATTAGTGAACAATATTCCTAACAGTGTCCACTGTCCAATGCCAATAACAATTTTTGTGATATCTTCATGGTTTGTTTAAAATGACAGGGGTCTCCAATTACTTTGTTAATTATGACTATTATTTTGTTTCTCTCTCTTCAGTCTAGTGGGAGTGGCAGTGAAAGTGGCACACAAACCCAGAAATCTGTGAAATCAAAGAGTCTTGAGAAGTTTGATAACAATTCGGGAAGCAATGACGAGCAAGATAATGGAAGTTTAGGCTTAAATAATGGGGATGGAAGTGACAATGGTAGTGGCACTCAGGTATAACTTTTATATATGTAATATTTTATCGAAAATCCCATGCATGGACTATGTTAGAAAGAATGTAAATAGGTTAACTGTTGATTGTATATTATGATTTCATCACGATCTCTGTATCTTTTTCATTTTCCTCTGTATATAATTCACCTCTCTTTTGTAACTTAAGTTCAGAGATTAGCATCACATGTCACATGTTTTCCTCTTACCTAAAATGGTATCTAGAGTTTGGCAAAAGACAACCCTATCAGAGAAAAAATTGGATCTACTACATACATGTTAAAACTTTTTGTTGGAAACCATAATTACTTTCCTCGACGCTTTCATTTTTGGTTTCCATTTCCTCTGCATTTTCTTATTTTGGTCATTTTGGACATTTTACAACCGCTTTTGCCACCATTAGGGGTTTAGGTCGCTTCCTTCAGTCTAGCTCAACCATGGGCCCTGTGTTTTCAGTCCCAAAAGCCTTTGGCATGCCCTCATTCCTGCCATTTTTGGCCAAATTCATCACGTGTTTGATGCAATCATCAGCAATGGCTATTGGTGGTTCTTCAGCTGTTTCCCTGGTGTACAATTCTCACTCATTCATCGCTCCAAACCTTCATTCCTTGCCTTGAACAAGACTTTGTGGTGTTACCGTTTATTCTCTAGACCCTCCGGAATTATATTTATAGTATTTCTTTGACGCCCGCTATTTCTAATTATTGGTTTCCTTGACACTTTCATTTTTGGTTTCCATCTCCTCTGCATTTTCTTATTTTGGTCATTTTGGACATTTTACAATCGCTTTTGCCACCATTAGGGGTTTAGGTCGCCTCCTTCAGTCTAGCTCAACCATGGGCTCTGTGTTTTCAGTCCCAAAAGCCTTTGGCATGCCCTCATTCCTGCCATTTTTGGCCAAATTCATCACGTGTTTGATGCAATCATCAGCAATGGCTATTGGTGGTTCTTCAGCTGTTTCCCTGGTGTACAATTCTCACTTATTCATCGCTCCAAACCTTCATTCCTTGCCTTGAACAAGACTTTGTGCCGTAATTATATTTATAGTATTTCTTTGACGCCCCGCGATTTCTAATTATTGGGCATACCCCTCACTTTGTATGATAGAGCCGAAGTGTTTTGAACATGAGGTTTATGGTTGTTGAAAGACATAAACTCACCCTTGTATCATAACTAGTGAGAGAAAGACACTATATATTCATTCAAAATCTTAAGAGATTAGGTTTATGGGTCCTTTCAATTATATATTGCTCAACCTCTACTTTGCCGAGCAATGTTGGACTTTTAACTCACCCTTGTATCATAACAATTTTGTAGTATTAAAATTGACACATTCCCAAACAGCTTGCGTGGAATTAATAACAAGTGCGGAACATCGTATTGGTATTAGTTTAAGACAAAGGTGGTCCATGTGGTTGCATCTGTCTGACTAACATGAAAGGAAGTTATTACTTGCTAGTATTTGATAAAGTAACGGACTAAAAGTTTTCACACTGTAATAGTCATCCATTAATACATCAAACATTTAATAAAAGGAAGTAACCAGTTAAACAGCAAACACCACAACAGGTCATCTATGTGCTGGTTAAGCTAACTGGCCAGTAATGTCATATAGAGGTCACATTCTAATTCTTTTAACCAAAAGCTGCTTGTCATTTTATTATTTTCTCCTTTTACAGAGTTCCTGGACCAAACGAGCTGTAGAAGTTGACAGTCCTAAATCAGGCTCTCAGTGGGATCAGATAGCTGAGTGTCCCGACAGCACTTGTGCTCAAGTTGCTCATTCCAATGCTGAAATATGCAGGGGCAAGATGGTTCCTCCGGTCATAAAGGAGAGTCCAGAGCAAAAGGAACAAATAGGTATGGTCGAGCTGCCTTGATCTTCATGTCAGGGCATCAACTCTTTCTTACTCAGTCACCCAAACCGTATTTGTGATATATGCTTGTGGTATTGTAAGAAAGAAGAGTAGAGAAGAGAAGTGTTTTCATTTCTGTAACTGAATTCTGTTATGCTTAAAAGGCTCTGTTAAGATGTGGTTGGGCCTAATTCAATCCTACAAAACCGGCTTGTAGGGTGAGGATTGCCCCCACTTATAAACACATGTTCAGGCCATATATTGTCCGATGTGGGACTCTTAACACCCCCCTCACGTCCAGGACTAGACAACTGGAGCGTGAAAATAAATAGTGGATGGTCCACTGGATCTTAAACGAGGCTCTGATACCATGTTAAGATGTGGTTGGGCCTAATTCAACCCTACAAAACCGGCTTGTAGGGTGAGGATTGCCCCCACTTATAACACATGTTCAGGCCATATATTGTCCGATGTGGGACTCTTAACACACCCCCTCACGCCCAGGACTAGACAACTGGAGCGTGGAAATAAATGGTGGATGGTCCACTGGATCTTAAACGAGGCTCTGATACCATGTTAAGATGTGGTTGAGCCTAATTCAACCCTACAAAACCGGCTTGTAGGGTGAGGATTGCCCCCACTTATAAACACATGTTCAGGCCATATATTGTCCGATGTGGGACTCTTAACAGGCTCCTTGATGCCTTATATACAACTTCAAGGGTAATCTGCTATTACAGGTTAAGCTAAGTTGATACTTACAGCTGCCAGTCAAATATATAAACTAAAATAGGAACTTAGCTAAGGGCTTAGTCAAAATATCAACAAACTGATCAGTGCCAGGGATGTGCAACACTTGAATTTGCTTAGTCAAAACCTTTTCCCTCACCAAAAATAGAACAATCTCCATATGCTTAGTCCTGGAATGCAAAACAGGATTATGAGCTAATATAACAGCTGACTGATTATCACACAGTATGATGGGAGGCTTGGTTTGAATACACAGTTTCTGCAACAGTGTTTGTATCCAAAGAAGGTCAACTTTAGCTTGAGCTAAACTTCTGTATTCAGATTCAATGCTGGACCTAACAACAACTGGTTGCTTCTTTGACCACCAGGCAACCAAATTAGCTCCAAAGAAAATAGCAGCACCACAGTAGACATGAAGAGAGGGAGCAGCCTGAGGAGAAAGGGGAGTGAGAGATAAACCATGATTTAGGGTACCTTTCAAGTATCTGAGAATCCTTTTGACAGCCTGCCAATGAGAGTCAAGAGGATGTGACATAAACTGGCACACTTTGTTAACAACATAGGTCAAATCAGGTCTTGTGATGGTGGCATATTGCAAGGCACCAACTACAGACTTGTACATAAAAGGATCAGAAAAAGCTGCAGACCCAGTTTTGGTGAGTTTGCAGGTGGACTGCATTGGTGTGCTAACAGAACAGGCTTCCAACATGTTAATTTTCTGCAGCAAATCTCTGAGATACTTAGTTTGAGTGAGAAGCATAGAACCATGAGCTGACTGCTTGACCTTAATACCCAAAAAATAGTCAAGATCCCCAAGGTGCTTGAGAGAGAAAGCAGAATTAAGCTTGTGAATTACCTCATTGAGTTTTGAGAAGTAGGTGAAGAGAGAGGGGTCACACTTGCTGGCTTTAAAGTTGAGCTTGAGAAGAGTTGATTGCAGCTCTCAAACCACTGCCTTGGAGCCTGTTTCAGGCCATACAAAGCCTTGTTGAGTTTACCCACCAGAGAGGAATTAGAGTGAACAAACCCTGGAGGCTGTTCCATGTAAACTTCTTCATCAAGGAGTCCATCAAAAAAGGTATTATTTACATCCAACTGCTGAATAGACCACCTGTGGGTAATGGCAATAGTGAGGATGATCCTGATAGTAACAGGCTTCACAACAGGTGAAAAGGTCTCAGTAAAATCCAGACCATGCCTCTGATGAAAACATTTGGCTACCAACCTGGCCTTGTATCTGTTAATGGTGCCATCAGGATTTTTCTTGAGCCTAAAGACCCACTTGCAGCCAATAACATTCTTGTTGGGGGGTAAGGGCACAAGAGACCATGTGGCATTTTTCTGTAAGGCATCAAATTCATCTTGCATAGCTGCCTTCCAATGCAAATCAGCAAGAGCCTGTTTAACAGATTTAGGATCAGAGTAAGTAAGAAGCACCCTAGGATCCAGTCTAGGCTGAGAGAATCCAGATTTGGTCCTAGTTATCATAGGATGAGAATTCTGAGGGATAACGGGCACAAGAATAGCATTAGGAGGCACATGTGGTGCAAAATCAGTGCCTGAAGATGAGCTAAATGAAGGGTCAGCCTGACTAGAGAAGGATGAGAAGGTCCCTGAGGAGTTGCTGGCAGTAATAGGTGAAGGAGCTGCAGAACTATCAGTTGGTGATGAATCCTTAGGGCTAGAAAAGACAGAGGTGGGAGCATGAACAAGTGAGGTAGTAGGAGAGGCAGGTTGGAGATCATTTAAAGGACTAGGGATAAGAGATTGTGAAGAGGTGATGTGAGGAGTAAGAGCACTCAAAAGGGGGCTAGAGTAATGGGGTGCCAAGGATGTACTGTGGCTGGAAACAACACTAGGTCTGGAAGAAAATGAATCTAGATATGGAAATCTAGACTCATTAAATAGAACATCCTTTGAGATGTATAACCTGCCATTAGGAGCCATACACCTATAGCCTTTGTGAGTAAGAAAGAGGCATTCCTGAGATCTGAAGTTAAGTTTTTGAGAAAGATAAGGTCACAAGAGAGGAAAACAGGCACATCCAAAAACTTTCAGAAACTTGTAATCAGGCTGCTGATGGAATAGAAGAGTGTAAGGAACCTCAAAATGAATGGAAGCAGATGACAGCCTGTTAATAAGATATACAACAGTGGAAAGGCATAGTCGCAATATGTTAAGGGAAGGGAAGCCTGACTAAGCAAGGTAAGCCCTAAATCCACTATGTGCCTGTGCTTTCTTTCAATGACACCATTCTGGTGGTGTGTGTGTGGACAGATAAGACGATGGTTAATACCCACCTCAGTCAGATATTTGGTAAATGGCCTGAATTCACCCCCAGTCAGACTGAACAACTTTAATACGTGACTCATGTTGCAGTTCAACCAATGTTTTAAACTTTTGAAAAACAGTAATGGCTTCAGATTTAGCTTTAAGAAGATAGATCCAAGTAAACTTGGAATAAGCATCCACAAAGGTCAGTATAAACAAGTTCAAGAGGTTTTGTGTAAGCTGTGTGTGAAGTGGGAGCAGATGTAATCTGTGGGATTTACCCATACAGCAAGCAGAACAAAACATATCACAAGTTTTATTACTGAACTGAACATTACAATATTGCAAAACAAGCTTGAGAGCATGATCGTTAGGGTGTCCTAACCTAAGATGCCAGATGTAAGGCAAGCTATTAGAAAGAGAAACAGTGTCCTAACCTAAGATGCCAGATGTAAGGCAAGCTATTAGAAAGAGAAACAGTATTAGCACTAAGTGCAACATTATTGGAGGAAAAACTAGTAGAATGCAACAAAGACTTAGCAAGTTGTGACACATCAATAGAGGTAAACTCATAGAGTCCATCAGCTCCTACATGACCTTCAAAAAGAGTGGCATCAGACACTTGACATTTAACAAGACACTTGTCAGTTGAGAATAAAAAGTACACATGGTTATCCTTAGAAAACTGACTGACACTAAGCAGGTTTTTAGTGATAGTAGGAACATGGAGTAAGTTCTTGAGAGTGAGGTGTGTGGTAGGGTGAAAAGATGAAGGAAAGGAGCTTGAACCAGCAGATTGAATAGTCAAACCTTGTCCTTTACCAATGTAAATTTGATCATGGCCTTCAAAGGGAGTCACTTGTTGTAAGTTCTTTGCATCACTGGTGACATGGTACGAGGCGCCAGAATCACGAAACTAGGAACCAAATGGAGATGGTGAAGCATTTGCCACAAAGGTACTTGGAGGTTGTGTAATGGCAGAAGGATAAGAAGGCACAACAGGAGGCCTGTACCACACATAAGGAGAGACTTGAGGTGGTGCTTGAGTGTCATAGGCCTGGACCACACATAAGGAGAGACTTGAGGTGGTGCTTGAGTGTAATAGGCATGAGCACCCTGCCATTGAGGTTGCACATAGTTTGCACCGGAAGGTTGGAACTGATAGTTAAACCTGTGCCAGCACTGTAGGGCAGAGTGACCAGGTTTGGAGCAAACTTGGCACTGGATGTTAGAGTTGGAGAATTTGCCACCTCTGCCACGACCAAACCTACCACCACGATGACCTTTTCCACCTCTAAAAGGTTGATAATCTTGCACTTGGTCAGAGTGACCAGTGTGAGTAGAGGAAGACTTAGTGACAGGTGCTGGAGACTCATCTGTTGTTGGTGACTGAGGCACAACATGAGTTAGGTTGAGAGAAACCAAATCTGAAATTGGCTGCTTCTTGAACTTGTTCAAGCGCAGCTCATGAGCTAAGAGCAGAATTTCAACCTCATTAATGTTCATAATTCCAAATTTGCTTTCAACTACAGACACAACCGGAGCAAATTCAGCAGGCAAGCCCTCAAGAATCACATCAATGTGATGTGACATAGGAATTGGATCACCACTGGATGCAAGTGCATCAACAATGGTACGGATCTTCAGCAGATAGTCTTGAACAGAGTGTCAAGTGTAAGAGCACGCACGGGTTTGTTTATGAAAATAGCTGAAAAGACGATCCTGCAGTTCATGAGAGTGATTACAGCCAAGCACGCGTGAGAGAATCTCACTGGAAAGTGTAGATCGAAGCCAGGACAACAACAATTGGTCCTTCTGAATCCAGCTAGAATACGCTGGATTAACAGAACCAAAACGGCGAGCGGCGTCGTTAACAAATTTCAACGGAACACGAGCGCGTACCACCAGATCTGTGAGATCATGAGCATTGATGTAAGGTTCTACCTGTTGACGCCAGAGATGGAAGTTCTTTTCATCCAACTTCTGCACAATCTTGAGCGAGAAGTGCAATCGGTGAGAATCATCCACCACCGGCGACGGAATCGGCGTTGGTTCAGGCGAAACCCTAGCGGAAGACGGAGGCGATGGTGAAGCGATCGTAGCCATGGATCGACTCAGCAATCTGATACCATGTAAGAAAGAAGAGTAGAGAAGAGAAGTGTTTTCATTTCTGTAACTGAATTCTGTTATGGTTTTTCCGTTAGTTACAAAAGGCTCCTTGATGCCTTATATACAGCATCAAGGGTAACCTGCTATTACAGGTTAAGCTAAGCTGATACTTACAGCTGCCAGTCAAATATATAAATTAAAATAGGGACTTAGCTACTTATATATTCAATAGGTATTATATTACCGTGCTAGTTCAAAATTTTCCTTTTGACGATATCGACTCAACATATAGTGAATGTGATTCTCGTTGAAATACAAATTATGTTGTGGAAATTTTTTTGAAACAATCTCTTCCATGACATTGACTTTAACACCCTCTTCATTATGCTACCTGCTTTTTTGGGTTTTATTTTCGGAACTTGGTTCAGCAGCTAGTGACACATTAGAAGTTATTTAGATTTTGAATGTATCTGGGATGTGCTATTAGTTTCTCGATTCATTGAGTCAACCTTAATAATGCAAATTTGTGAGTTTCATTTCTGAATCTAGCATCACGCGTGCAATATTTAATATATTGCACACTCTTATCCTATGTTAAATTCCTTATTTAATAATGCATCTGATACTAGCTTGGGCCTTAGCCCAAGTATTGGGCAGAATAAAGAATTAGTTTTAGTTGCTGCTGTGGCCAGTTAGTTAGAGGACGCAATGCATACATGTAACCCCTGCACCAAGTGCTGGAGGAAATAAATCTTATACATGTAATTCCTGCACTAAGTGCTGGAGGAAATAAATCTTAATTTTTATTCTCACAATTGATGACTATCTTGAACTGTTACTTAATCAATGAATATCTGTTGGAGTAACCGTGAGGTTACTAATATGTCTGTGCTTTAATTTTTCCCTATTTTCTATTATAATAATATTCTCCTAAAGTTAAGGAGAGAATTAAGTTGTAACTCTCCTATATATACCAACTATTGCTGAAGAATAAAATATAATAGTGTTCCTTATTCTCTAATCATGTGTATCCCCTTCCTCAGGATGCATGCAATTTGTATATGCATTCATGTACCTACGTGCTTGTGCATATACAAGCACGTACCTTGTTTTGTGGATTATGTATAGAATATTTGAATGTTATTCTTTTCCCTGTAAGAAATGAAAGTTGAGTCAGTAGTTGTACTGACTTGATGATTGACTGTATAAATGGGGTTCTAGTCAAAATTGCAGGTTCAAAACATATCAACACATTTGATGTAGGCACCTCTAAATTCAATGAGCAAATTAATAGAGGAAACCTGGAGCTTAATTGTGAGAATCAATCTGGCAAGCTAAGATGCAAAGGGCTTTCATTATCTGATGGTGTTACTAGCACTTCTGATTCTCGAATGCGAAGTGGAGAAATTGAAGCTCTAAATAGAATACCCAGGTCATCAGATATTTGCAACAAAGGTACTAATAATGACGAGGAGTTTCCATCTCTTGAGCTCAGTTTAAAGAGGCCTAGAGAAGTTAAAGAAGCTGGTACTACAAGTCAGGATGAACGGAATGTTTTAAGACATTCTGATCTGTCTGCTTTCTCAAAGTATGATGCTTTGGTGTTATTATTTGTATTCTTGATCATTTTGAAGATGGACAATTATATTTGTTAGAAGTATTTTTCTACAGGTACAATGCAGCCCTTAATGCTAAGAAGTCTCCTACCAGATGTGTTGGAAGTAACTCTCCACATAATAACAGCTTAGAAGTTACAAAGAAAGATTCCTCTCTTGATGTTCAATCTCATTCTAGTGGCAATCCTCCTAACCAGAACTCGAATGGTGGTAGCAATAACATTGATATGGGTTCCACTACTAATAATGCTTTTACCAAGTTTGCTGTTATAAGTGAGCCAGCAGTGGCATCAACAACAAAATTTGTGTACAAAACATCTGCTTTCCAGCCCATAAAGAGCAGCCTCTTGCGTACCTCTCAACAGGTCGTCTTGCACAATAATGAAGATACGACAACAGCAATGCTGGCACCACCTAAAATTGACTCTAATAAGGGTTCTGCTCCTCAGGATTTTCATTACCATTATGCAAACCACAACAATGTTGCTAACATGCAGCCTCAGTTGCCGCCTGAGAACGATGCCGAGTCTTCAAAGAAAATGACTTCTGCTGCTCCGTACTGCGGCGGCTCATCAAATGCGGTTGAAGTGCAAGTTGAAGGTAATATGGGAAATTACAGTATCAATAGAAGTGCTTCAGGCAGCAACATTGAAAGCAATGGACAAAATGGGAGCAGCACTGCAATTAATGCTGGAGGGACAAACATAGAAAGCAACAATGGACTTGTTGGGAATAGTGGTAGTGGTGATGCTAGTGGAATTGGAAGTGCAAACAGAGTAGATCGAAACAAGAATTCTCAAAGGGAAGCAGCCCTAACTAAATTTCGCCAAAAAAGAAAGGAGAGAAAGGATAAGTGCTTTCATAAACAGGTAAACTGAGTACAGAACAAATACTGAAGCAATTTATTACTCATGAAGCTTAAATAAGCTTTCGATTCTTGAAAAATACAAAGTTTTTTGAACTAAAACTATTAATCTCTTTTTTCATTTTAGTCCATATAACCGACAAAAATATACCTTTAGTCCTTAAATGTATAGTCCCTGCATGAGTGCATGAGTACTAAGGATGTTTTGTTAACAGAAACCAATATAAAATCCACTTGTGAACCAAAATCCTGTTTAAACCATATGTTGCTTTGGGTATTCGTGAAACCCAGTAGAGCAAGTTTAATTCTGTAATTACTAGTTACCCTATTGAAGTAGAATTAGGATGATGTAGGTTAGATGAAATACTTGATAGGGTACGTTGGATTGTATACCATTTTGGTGCATTGTTTCTCCCCCACTTCTTTATATCCATTTTTGTTTCTTTTCTGGATTTGATTCCAATATGAAAAAACAATTATGTGCAACACGCATTTTGATTATACAATAATAAGTAAACCTTACTCAACCAGTTTCGAGGAGTAAAACTTTGACTAGAGATAATCTCTAACTATAGTGACATAGTATGATACATACTACTAGTAAATTATGCATCAGTTCTAAGGATTTTTGCAATATAAGTTCATAAGAAATTCTGATCAAGTTTTGTAAACCTGAAAATGGGAAGGGTTGTGCTTGATGATACCATATGAAGGAAAAATATAAAACCGATATTTGATATGCAGCAGATGATTATTAAAACTAGGAGTGTGACGCTGAGATCATTTATAGAATAAATATTACTGTTTTTCAAATTTTAAACAGGACTTCGGTTATGTTTGCTTTTGGATCACCAAAAAAATTGAGATTCACCTATCCATGATGATAAATGTTCGTTGATAGCAAGTTTGTCCTTTCTATAAAACGGATCCCGGTTTGTATATTTGACTTAAGAAAGGGATGCACGTTTCCATCATTCTGTGGGTGGTGCAGACTACTTCTCTACAAACTGGAGTGCATTTCTCCTGTTATGATCTGTATTTTGTAGCTAACTCAATATGGTTTGAATTTCAGGTACGATATCAGAGCAGGAAGAAATTAGCTGAACAGCGACCACGGTACCGAGGACAATTTGTGCGACAGTCTTCAGACAATAATGCAAGTGAGGCAACAGATAGTTAATTCATTCACAGAGCATTTGACACAAAGGCGTAATGATATATATATATATATATATATATATATATATATATATATATATATATATATATATATATATATATATATATATATGGACGGAAAAGATCCAGAAGCCTTCATGTGATATTTGGGAATTGTTCTGTCTCTTCGTGTACTGTGCTAACTTGTAATTAGTTCTAGTTATTCCAACTGCTAATGACTCTAGTTATTCCAACTTGTATTCGGTGCTAGAATCCATTTATGTCGTGACAAGTATTATTATGTTGATTTCGTGCTTGCAAAAATTACATTTAGCTACTCCGAAATTTTTGTTACACTCTCATTGACTTTGTACTTGACTGCTACAATTATTTAGTGTAGCTCATCAACCAACTGACTACTTTTTGTGTTTAGGGCTAGAACGATCAAGAAATTTCATCACCTACGTGACCTAACTTAGTTCGAGCTTATTAGGGCGTAGAAATTGACCCGTTCTGTAACAAAATAGAGATGGATTAGGATGATATTTTCTAAGGGGAATTTCTTATGCCACCTTATATAGGTGAAAAAAATCTTATGAAAACTCTAAACTGCTTTTGAGTTATCGAAAGTCTATTTTCGAATGCATCATTCACATAACATAGGCGAGAACAAATGTGGTGTCATCCCATTTTGAAATTAAAAAATTAAAAATTATACCGGAGATATTATTTTGGTTATATTTGGATAGTTATCTCTGATTAGATCAAGAAATTTCATCACCTACGTGACCTAACTTAGTTCAAGCTTATTAGGGCGTAGAAATTGACCCGTTCTGCAACAAAATAGAGATGGATTAGGATGATATTTTCTAAGGGGAATTTCTTATGCCACCTTATATAGGTGAAAAGAATCTTATGAAAACTCTAAATTGCTTTTGAGTTATCGAAAGTCTATTTTCGAATGCATCATTCACATCACATAGGCGAGAACAAATGTGGTGTCATCCCATTTTGAAATTAAAAAATTAAAAATTATACCGGAGATATTATTTTGGTTATATTTCGATAGTTATCTCTGATTAGATCAAGAAATTTCATCACCTACGTGACCTAACTTAGTTCAAGCTTATTAGGGCGTAGAAATTGACCCGTTCTGCAACAAAATAGAGATGAATTAGGATGATATTTTCTAAGGGGAATTTCTTATGCCACCTTATATAGGTGAAAAGAATCTTATGAAAACTCTAAACTGCTTTTGAGTTATCGAAAGTCTATTTTCGAATGCATCGTTCACATCACATAGGCGAGAACAAATGTGGTGTCATCCCATTTTGAAATTAAAAAATTAAAAATTATACCGAAGATATTATTTTGGTTATATTTGGATAGTTATCTCTGATTAGATCAAGAAATTTCATCACCTACGTGACCTAACTTAGTTCAAGCTTATTAGGGCGTAGAAATTGACCCGTTCTGCAACAAAATAGAGATGGATTAGGATGATATTTTCTAAGGGGAATTTCTTATGCCACCTTATATAGGTGAAAAGAATCTTATGAAAACTCTAAACTGCTTTTGAGTTATCGAAAGTCTATTTTCGAATGCATCATTCACATCACATAGGCGAGAACAAATGTGGTGTCATCCCATTTTGAAATTAAAAAATTAAAAATTATACCGGAGATATTATTTTGGTTATATTTGGATAGTTATCTCTGATTAATTAGTGTGGAAAATTGGTAATTGTTACTTTTGCATCTAAGATATTATCAGAAGTATATTTTCGAAAAAATCAAAAGCCAAATTGCTTAAAACAGCAACTAGCATGAACTAGCAAGATCATCTCACTATTATAAATAAGTTCATTTATTATATTGTTTTATACTAAAATACAAAAAATAAAATGAACATCAAATGGCATGTTGAAAATGTTCACTTTTCTGGCAATATACCATCTCGAAAATTCAAGATCAACGAGTACACCCATCCCTCTTAAAGATCTGTATTACATATTATAAAATCTTCTACCATATGGTGACAATTGCAAAATTGTGAAGATCAAGTATCACTCGCCATCCATTGATAACGAAGGAAAACTTGAGTTCATCAATCATGAGCTGAAGACGGACGCTGATTTATGGGCTATGTGGAATATTTTTACCCGTTTAAAATCAAGTTCCGATCGAGCTGAATACGACTATTTCGAGATCGATCGATGGTATTATCAAGATGTTGCAACGTCCATTTGGGTATTGAAGTGTAATATTTGATCTATGTTAAAATCTCTTATGTATTACTTATTTAATGATATCAATGATATTTTGATTTTGTGAAGTTGATGTATTTCAATTCTTTTTTTGTATAATGTAAGGCATTATTCTGAAAATATACTGTCGGTTTAATATCAAAAATGTAACTCTTAGAAAGTGTATTTTATTACATCTTAATGCATTTCAAAGATGTATCTCCGAATTTAGGAGCATTTAAGTATTTTCACACGGTGCATTAGAAAAATATATGATATAAAGTGTGTTAAAGAATTTTCCTTTTTTAATTTAGGAGTGTTACATTTGAGATGAGTTGGAGTTTGTTTTTGGGTTATCTGATCTCTTTTCTATTTCTAGTGGATGAGATTATCTGATATCTATTTACTGATACATATAGTTTTGATATATATTTTATTAAAGAAAACCCGTGTTTATGTTTATTCTGAAATCAAACTCAACATATAAAGTTTAAAAGGTGAAGAGGTGACTTCTAGAGTGAGACATCAATTAAGTCTGTTAACATGAATCATTCAATTTATCCATTAGATTAAAACAAGTCTATATGATTTCATTAAACAACTTGTCTTTCTTGATTGACATCTAATTAAGAAGGACCTTTTTTTTAGTACAACATAACCTGAAACATTGAGAACTTAAGACAGTTATAGTTAAATAAAGTTTTTGAGGCTCAACATTATGTAACTTTAATATTATGATTAATAAAGCAATATTACAAGGGTGACACTCTTTTTCTTGCAATGGCATGAGTTTTTAACGAGGCATTCTAAGTGTTTTAATTAGTCATGTGTTCTATACTAAGTATAGAGCTTGGCAAAGGATTTGCACACTTTTCAGACAAAAATGGTAGAACTCTACGAGGAGCTTTGGCCTATAAGCGATGAGAATCTTGCGTCTACGAATGACTTCCTGCGTGGTATTTGTTGGAATCATGCGAGAAATCTTGTGTTTATGGATAAGGGTGATAAAATGGGTCATGTTCGTCAGACGTACCTATATTACATGTGCCTTTTTGCAGGTCGAGATTTTACGTCTGCACCCTAAAATATGCTAGTCTGCCCACTTTATTTTTTGTTGGTTTTTGCGAGGGCATATATTTACATAATTATTGTAACTTTTTGGCTTTAGAGGTACAATGCCTTCAGATCCATCCCGTTCGACATCATATTTTAAGTCTGCACACTCAACTATGCGCACTCTATTTTATTGTAAGATTTTACGACGCGAACATGTCTGTTTGTTACTCCTACCTACATACAACTCCTTAGCGTAATTGTTGGAGCTCTATGGGGAATCTTTCACTTATAAGGTATTTGTTGGAATCTTACGAGAATAAACCTACAGGCGACTCCCTACAGGGTATTTGCTGGAATCTTACGAGAAATCATAAGTCTACAAGCGACTCCCTGCGTGGCATGTGACATTACGGGTGTCCAAGATGCAGTTTGGACTGACTAAAATTCATCCGAACTGCAAGAGCAAAAATACAAGATTTGGTTTGGTTTTGTTAACTTTTAAAAATAAACGGACTAAATCAATCTAAATAAATACAATTTGGGTTGGTTCAGATTTTTATTGAGCCATACATACACAATACACATATAGAGGATAACATAATTTTGTGTTTAGTCATTTATATATCATCATAAATTAAATTTTATAATTATCAATTTGATACATAAATATGAATTGTGTATTTTTATTATTGTCTAAAGGAAAATATATATTGTTCTGGACTGGGCCGGGCTGGCCCAAAAGCAACGATGAAGGCCCAATCCAAACGGTCTTGCAAGGGGTCACGCCGACCAAAGAGGCCACAGCCGCGCCCGACACTCTATGCTAGTGCGACATCCTCGACTCCATGCTATCCTGCTCGACCTGAGCTCGAGCACTCCTCCTAGGGCAGACTCTGTCCACTACACCATCACTTGGATCTCGAAAAGACCGCGTCCTCGTCCGTCCGTACTTCACGCAGAACATCCAAGAAGGAGACCACGTGCGGGTCCCCACTACACACGTAGAACCTGGCAGTTCCTCCATTGGGCCAAACCTGCCCGGCCCAATGAAGGAATCTTGGCCCAGCGCTGGGGGATATAAATACCCTATGTTCCCAGAGGGTCAGGTATTCATTTTCTTAGCCATACTCATACTATTGCCTGCTCGTGCTCTTACTTACTTCAGCATCGGAGTGCCTTGCAGGTACCCCCCACTTCGTTCAAAACATCAGCTCGGAGCCAGCCGTGACGGTCCAAGTCTGATCAGGTTAGATCAGTGGCGCCGTCTGTGGGAACTAGCTTCCCCATCTTGCAAAACTCAAAGACCAAAGCTCAAACTCAACTACCGTTGTCATGGCTGATCAAGCTCGCGATGAACAAAACGTCCGCGTCGTCGACATCAACAACGGCCCCGCAGACAAAAACGGACACCTCGACAATGCTGGCAACCCCGGTCACAACACCGTCCCTGCGTCAACTGCCCCCGGACCTTCAACCTACCGCGACGGAGCTACTGCGTCATCCCCCTCGGTCCCTCCGCCACTCGAAGAAGACGAGGTAGCTCTCGCGAACTACCGAGCTGCCCGGTTCCAGGAAGTCCCCGTCCCCGCCGGGGCGAACGCCACAACTCAGGCGCTGTTCGCAGCGATCAATCAAACAAATTACCTCATCTTCGCCCAAGGGGAAAGACTAAGGGAACTTGAAGACGACCGAAGACCCCCGAGGAGGCATCGAAGGCCCCA